TCCTCAACCAGTATCTCGGCGGCAGCACCATCTTCATGAAGGCCAAGCGCTCGCTGACCAACTCGTTCGATAATCTCTTGAAGCGGAAACCCTCCAAGGACGACATTGCCGTGCCGCCCCACAATCTGCGCGACATAAGGGAGGGCTCAGCCGAACCGCTTGGCACCGAGTCGCCTCCCGAGGGCTTCCGCTCCCGCTCGAACACCGTGGGAGCGAGTCCCAGCAACAAGCCCACCGCCGAGCAGCTCAAGAGCCCCATGATGGACATGTGAGTAGAGTCATTCGAATTGTTCCCTGGAATCCACCATTTGATTGCCATATTTTTGGTCCGCGAGCAGATTCATCAAGGTAGGCAACAGCCCCAAGGAGGCGGAGACACATCAGGGCTCCTGGCGGCAGGCCATACTCAACAGCGTAGTGACCCCCTCTAAGGGTCTGGACAGCGAGGTGCCCACTGAATTCCTGTCGCCCATGCGCAAGCGTAAGTTGTCCTTTCATTCGATTGAAGTACGATGTAATGATGGCTTTATCCGATTGCAGCTGCAAAGAGGGGAAAGCGCGATGCGGCCGAGCTGCGGGAGCTGTGGCGCACGGCCATACGGCAGACGATCATGCTGAACCGCATGGAGACGGAGAATGCCATTCTGCAGCTGCGCCAGAACGAGAACGAGCTGAAGCGCATCAAGCTGGACTACGAGGAGATAGTGCCGTGCGACAAGCAGCTGATCGAGCGCTGGGAGCAGATCATCGAGCGCAACTCCACGCAGATCGGCAACAAGAAGGATCCCAAGGTGCTGGGCCATGCCATCCGCACCGGAGTGCCCCGGTCGAAGCGCGGCGATGTGTGGACCTTCCTGGCAGAGCAGCATTCCATGAACACGGCGCCGGTGGACACCAAGCGATTCCCCAACTTCAATACGCCGTACCACACACTGCTCAAGCACCTCACCGAGCACCAGCACGCGATTTTCATAGACCTGGGCAGGACGTTCCCCAACCATCAGTTCTACAAGGATCCCCTGGGCCTGGGACAGCTCTCGCTGTTCAATCTGCTGAAGGCCTACTCCATACTCGACCCGGAGCTGGGCTACTGCCAGGGTCTCGGCTTCATCTGTGGCGTTCTGCTGTTGCACGTAGGCTTGCCTTGCTCGAATCTCTCCTGAATGTCCTGTGCCCTAATATGGTTTTCAATATGTGTTTTTCAGTGCGACGAGGCGAACGCCTTCCAGCTGTTGAAGCATTTGATGTTCCGCGGCAACATGCGCACCAAATACCTGCCAGACATGAAGAAGTTCCAGCTGCAGCTGTACCAGCTCTCTCGCCTGGTCAAGGACCATCTGCCCGATCTGTACGTGTGGCTTGATCAGAACGATGTGTCGCCCACTCTGTACGCGGCTCCCTGGATCCTCACCGTGTTCAGCTCCCAGTTCCCCCTGGGCTTCGTGGCACGCGTCTTCGACCTGATTTTCCTGGAGTCCTCCGACGTCATCTTTAAGTTTTCCATTGCGCTGCTGTCCGTGCACAAACAGCAGCTGCTGGCCAAGGATAACTTCGAGGAGATCATGGACTACCTGAAGACGGTGGTGCCCAAAATCGAGCCCAGCTACATGGAGAAGATCATGAAGCTGGTCTTCTCCATGGACATTGGCAAGCAGCTGGCCGAGTACAACGTGGAGTACAACGTGCTGCAGGAGGAGATCACCACCACCAACCATCACCTGGAGATGCTGAACAGGGAAAAGACGCAGAATCAGCATCTGGAGCAGCAGCTGCAGGTGCGTTCCAAATCCAAATCTCTATAGCTTACGCAGTGACTGACCCACTTCCATCCGCAGTTCGCCCAGTCCTCGATTGCTCAGCTGGAGACCACACGCTCCTCCCAGCAATCGCAGATAACCTCGCTGCAGTCGCAGGTGCAGTCGCTGGAGCTGACCATACAGACGCTGGGCCGGTACGTGGGCCAACTGGTGGAGCACAATCCCGACCTGGAGCTGCCCAACGAGGTGAGACGCATGCTCCAGCAGCTGGATGACCTGGAACGACAGCGCCGCCGCCCAATCTTCGCCGACCGCAAGATCGGCAAATCCATCTCAGTGAACAGTCACTTGGGGTTTCCCCTCAAGGTGCTCGAAGAGCTGACCGAAAAAGACGAACTTGGTTCGCCACAAAAACAGAGGAAGGAGAAGACACCTTTTTTTGAGCAGCTGCGTCAACAGCAGCAGCAGCAGCACCGCATGAATGGCCAATCCAGCAATGCCCCAGCCAATGAGCCAGTCCCCGCGGTCGCGGTCGCGCCCACGCCACCCCCGCGGCCCAATCGCCTGCTGGACAATGCCAGTGCACGGACCGTCATGCAAACAAAGCTGGACGAGCTGAAGCTGCCCGAGCACGTGGACAAGTTCGTCGCGAATATCAAGAGTCCACTGGAGGTGGACTCTGGCGTGGGCACGCCCCTCAGCCCGCCCAGCACTGCGAGTAACAGCAGCGGTGGGAGTATTTTCAGCCGCATGGGCTACAAGACCACGCCGCCAGCGTTATCCCCCTTAGCGACTCGTCAGACGTACGGCAGCAGCAGCAGCAACAGCAGCAGCAGCGGCATTGCCATCACCACTGCACCAGCGCCAGGGCCGATGGAGCAGGCGCCACCCGCAACTAGTATTGCGGCGATGCCACACGAGGAGGAGCAGGCCATGCACCCGCTCAGCATGGTAGGCGGCGATGTGAATGTGCGCTTCAAGGGCACAACCCAGCTCAAGTCGATACGTCCTGTGCACCACATGAGAGCCATTCCTCTTGGCGTTGTCCAGCACCAGTCCAGCACAGAGTCGTCTGTGGGTGTGGCGCCTGTTCCGGTGGAGCTGGCACCTCCTGCAGCGACCACCGGCCGCAGCTAACGGTTTTGATTCATCAGCAAGCTGCTTCGCGGGTTCTATCGCGAGCCAAACCCCTGAGCAGAGTCCAGGACCTGGTAACGGACGGACGGACAGACGGACGGACAGCTTAGTCGTGCTACTTACGAACTTCTGTTGCGGCTTAGATATAAAGTCAACCTATAACTACTTCGTTTTCAAATTGTGTCAATGCGCGCACAAAATGTTGCCATATATATATATTGCTCCGCAAGTCACGCAATCGTTATAAACAAACCCCCACCCACACCCCCAACATAATATATAGTACCCCCTTATACCCCCCTACATATATGTAGTATGCTTATACGAAGGGATTGGACAAATGCTTTTTCAAGGTTTTATAGATTTGGCTACCGTTTTGAAAGATAAAAGATTTATAACCTCACGCCGCACCGCACCCTGAAAGCAGCAGCCACAGCGAAAAGTAAATAAAACCAAATCAAAGGAGGCAGGGCACTCAAGAAAGAGTCTGTAGCTTGTTTAAGTTTAGTTTTCCGTTCACTATTAACTTAATATTTAACGAATTTACTTAGTAGCTTACTTGTTGTTACTCGATTTCCGTTTCTTTGGTTACCTTTAGTATAGTAAATTAGTTCTTAATCATTATCCTAAGTTGTAACTATATTTCTACTGTACATTTCTCCCCAGGGTTTTATTTGCAATTTAAACTAAAATCAGAAACTAATGTGTAACACGACACTTGTATTCCGGCGACATTTGCTTGTAAATTGTTCTTAGATACGAGTAGGATACAATTTTCTGAAATCTCTTCTCTATGCTTATGGTACTTGGATTGTATTGATTTAAATATACATACATGCAAACACACATACTATATGCAATAACTATAAAACGTGGAAAATACATACAAAAACAATAACAAAACAAATTGCTTCTGTGTTAAGTACTTAAACTTATCTATTGCTTAGCCGGACGGGATCGGGCTTCGATCGGGCGCCCGGAGTTTGTGTAGCTGATTTGGGTTAGAATATGAGTAAAATTAACTGCAATTACATACATACACATATGAAAACAGTAATAAAGTCAACCAAAATTATTTAATCGATACCACATAGAGTTGTTTTATTTACGAGTACTTTACCCAGAGCTCTTGGCGTTCCATAAAACATAAAGAAAGGAATTATTTACATCAGTCTAGTCTGTTCTCGCACTCTGTCCCATCTGTATTTTTATACCCGTACTCAAAAAGAGTTAAGGGGTATATTGTATTTGTGGTAAAAGTGGATGTGTGCAACAGCAGAGAAGGAAATATATATATAAATATAAATATATATATGCATCAATAGCCGAGTCGATATAGCCATGTCCGTGTGTCCGTCCATCTGTCCGTCTTGATGAGAGCCTAGATCTGAGAGACTATAAGAGCTAGAGCAACCAAATTTTGTTCCCGGCTTCATGTGATATCACAATGCTACAAGTGTATTTCAAAATTGCGCCCCGCCCCCTTCCGCCCCTACAAAGCACGAAACTCTGTGGCAGGCATAATTTTAGAGATAATATAAAACTAAAAACGCAGTATCGTAGAGAATGACTGAATCAGATCAGATCATAATTATACCCAGAATGAAAAAATTAACTTTCAGTTGCTTCCCCCGCCTCCTACAGCAAGAGACCACGCTACTCATTCTCTTTCTCGCTCGCACACCCTGCCGCGTTCTGTGCGCGAGTGCCCGCTAGCGGAGAAGCTGTAGAATGTACATTGTATATTCTACGTAAACCATAAGCTCACAAATTTATATACTGACTGAGTACGGGTATAAGTAGAGTCGCTTCCCCAGAAGCGACTCACACGTTCCTTCTCGTTGAGTATTAAGTTTAAGCGAAGACTTTACAATTACCAAGATGATGTATTAGGCACCAACAAGCTGTTCTATGGCGCGGGTTTTCGTGATGACCCGTGACCAGACGACCAGCGTCGCTCACAGCTGCTCCGCTTCCTACTCTGAATTACCGAAAACAACCAAATCGCAGTAAGCCGCTCTCCCACACCACTTAGAATGAAAATTGAAATTGAAATATAATTATGTTTTTATGTTTTTATATTCATTTTTGTATTTAATAGTCTTTGGCTTAGCACAAACATTACGATTATTTGAAGTAGCCCAAGTCGTAATGATGATGATAATGATTTATTCGGGCTTACAAGTCATTAAACTAAGAATGGAAATCAGGAGAATTTGCTAAGGTTTTTACATATTTATTTTAATAATATCTTAATGGCTAAAGTCTGAACAATTTGCATTATTTTATTGGCATATCACATAACAGGTATTGACAAATAAATCTCCTAAGTCAGGCCATTTCAGCAGTCTAACTAAACCAGCAATTAATTGGGGCAGATCTAATGAAACATCACAGCTTTTAGTTGAACTAAAATTCAAGAATTTTGTTTTTTATTACGGATGGCTGAAAATTTTTAAAATTAATCTGGCACTCGAAGAAACTAGGCTAAGGGAAGAAAATATCAACAAAAAGCTCTAATGCAAAAGCAAATTCAGCAGCACTCTGATGGGCATCGCGAGTCTCATCAAAATGCGGCTGAGTTCGCTTTTGGGGAGTAAAAGAACGTCCAGTCCGTTCTGGTCCTGCCTCAGCGCTAACTGATCCCGTCAGGGATCAAAGGAAGGAAAAGGAGAACAAAGAGGGACCTGCTTAAAGCGCGCGCCTGGCTGCTGTCCATCAAATCGTCATTGTCCGTCGGTCCAACTATCATACATATATACAAAAATATAACCCAAGAAATGCTGGGCAGGACGACGGGTCTACTCCTTGAACTCTGGCTTAACGCTAAATTCCGCCTTGGGCTGCTGCCCCCCGGTGGCTGCTGCTGCCGCCGCCGCCGCTGCAGCCGAGGCAGCACTGAAGGCGGCCAGATTTCCCAGCATGGAGCTGTTCTGAGGCAGTCCGGGATAGAGGTTCTGGTAGAAGAGGGGGTTCTGCAGCTGGAAGAGGGCCATCAAATGCGTCAGTTGGAAGTTTGGCGCTGTGGCGTCTGCCCCAGTTGCAGCGGCAGCGGTGGCACCAACACCGAAGTTCGGCAGGAGGCTGGGAAACAGTCCATTGGCGAGGGGATTGAGAGAGGATTGGGGCATGGATTGTGGCAGAGGCAGGGGCTGGGGCTGGAGCAGGGCCTGTTGGCTGGAATCATCTTCGACCTTGAGACGTTTGGCCTCTGGCTGCTGAGCATCGGCGGGCAGTTGCTGTGGATGGATACATACGATATATAAGATAAGATAAGGCTCCAGGACATCTCTGATCGATTGCTATACTCACAATTTTCTTGGGTGGCCTGCCGCGCTTGCGGGCCAGGAAGTGCTCGGCGGAGAGAGAGGAGAGTGGGGTGGAGGTGTGGCTGCTGCTGGAGGTACTGATCGGGGGCTGAGTGGCGCCGACGGTGGGCTGTGGCTGCTGGGGTGCGGCATCCAGCGAGGACTCCTCCACGTCCTGCTTTTTCTTGAACTGCTGGTAAGCCTGCTCGCCATCCTGCCGATCGTGCTTCCGCTTGTGGCTGATCATCTGGCTGCTGGAGTGCAAGATGTAGTCGCAACCCTCGCGGACACAGTGGATGTGGTTGCAAACGGTGGAGAACTTGCAGGCCTCGAAGGGGCAGGCCTCCGTCTTCAGAATCTTCTTGAAGCCGTCCATCTTCAGCTGATGGTCCTTCAGGTGATAGGTCTTGTGCTTGTCTGAGTTGCAGAAAGATAAACCTTAGTAAATTTCTGTTCAGCATGCCCCATGCTCTGCTCTGGACTCACCCATATCGGCCTTGTTCTTGAATGTGTGGTTGCAACCTTCGCGGCAGCAGTGATAGTGCGATATCTTCCTGCCGAAGAAGGGGCAGTCCTCGATGCGACAGTTTTCGTGGGCCCGAAAGCGTCTGAAGCCCTCGTTGACTATCTCCGAGTCCTTGCGATGGAAGTTCGCGTGCATCTGCACGTCGCTGGTGCTCACGTATACCTTGGGGCAGTGCTCGTAGATGCAGTGGTAGTGGGTCTGCTTCCAGTTGTAGGCACAGCCCTCGCCGTAGGCCGGGGCACAGTCGTCCGCCGAGGAGAAGCGGGCGAAGCCCAGCTTGAGGCTCTCCTTGCGCTTTTTGTGCCACTTAAGGTGACGGATGATATCATCCTTCTTGCTCAGGATCTTGCCCTGGCAGGGCTCGTCGTGGCAGTGGAAGTGCTCGCGCAAGTTCTCCTGTCGGCACAGGCTGTTCTCGCACTCCAGATACGAGGACACCTTTCGCAGGTTCTTCAGGCTGTCCTCGCTCTGCAGGAACGCGTCCAGGCTGCTCGCCGTGGACAGGCTGACAATGCTCTTGCTCTGTTCGCTGGAGGGCGGGGTAAGGAGGGAGATGGTCTGGGTCTGGCCTAGGGGGGTGTTCGGTGTGAGCTCGCTGTCGAGGGGCGTGATGTTGTACGATGAGTCGGCCGGCTGCTTGACGGGCGTGTACTGCAAGGCATGAGGAGGAGAGGAGAACGATGTTACATACAACACATACAGAAAGTTGGGGCTCGTCTCCGACAGACTGCCTGGTGCCCACAGCTGGCCGTCGGGGAGGCGAACCCACGCGTTGCCGACACAGCTGTTTGATTTCTTTGGAATCGAGATCTTGGAGATCTTGAATCACGAATCGTTTGGTGTATCACTCAAATTACAAAAGCGTGGGATATTCCCCATACAATATACATTTTGTTTTGCTCTATTATTGAATGGTGTTCCCATGGCCAAAGTTCTTTACCAATATGATCCAGCGAGTGCTGGAGATAATAAGTACTACGGACTAAGTACTCACCATGCTGGGGGAGTCAACGCTGTCTGTGGTCGACTCCAACGGTTGCACGCCCGACATCATCAGCAGCTTCTCGGAGCTGGCGTTGGTGCTGACCAGCCCCGAGGAGCTGCAGCTGTTCAGACTGGACAGCGGCTTGTCATCGTCCTCGTCATCATCATCATCATCATCACCTTCATCGTTGAAATCCTGCTCATATTTGACTGTGACGGCCGAAAGGCTGCTGGCAACATGCGCCCCCTGACCCACTGCAGTTGTTGCTGCTGGAGTGATGGCTGCGTCGGCAGCATGTTGCGTTGCGTTCTCGATTGGCGTTGATGTCACTGTGGAGGATTGCAAAAAATTATTTGTGGTAAGCTGTTCGACATTTGCTGCGCCAGAGAACTGGCCCAGCATCATGTGTTGTTGCAGCTGCTCCTGCTTCAGGGAGCTGGGCGTGTGGGTGGGTGTTAGTAGGAGGTTCGATGTTGCCAACAAGTGTTGCTGCTGTTGCTGTTGCTGCTGCTGCTGCTGCTGTTGTTGTTGCTGCTGCTGCAGCATGAACTGCGTCAGGGGCGGCAATGTGTTGAGCAACATCTGGCCAACAAAGTGGTTAGGTGCGGGGGTCGTGGCTGCTGCAGCATGGGCAAATGGTTGTTGTTGAAGAGCAATCAAATTACTATTGGGACTACAACTACGGCTACTACGAGTACTACAGGTCGTGTTTTGCGAGCTAATTCGTTTGTGCGTTCTTGTCTTGAGAAGTTCGTGTTGCTGCTGCTGCTGCTGTTGCTGTTCATGTTGCTGCTGCTGTTGCAGACATGTGCTGCTGGAGATGTCCTCGTTCTGTGTGTAGGTGTATCCAGCTAGCTGCTGTTGGGGCTGCTGCAGCTGCAACTGCTGCTGCTGCTGTTGCTGCTGCAGCAAGTTCATCATATAAAGTTGCATTATAAACTCCATTTGGTTGGACATTTTGGCAAAGCACTTTTATTTATTTTTTTATCAAACACAGCACTGAAAATCTCTCTCCTTTCGTTTTAAAAAATTCTTAAGATTTTGCTTTGATCTTGAAGATTTTTGGTTTGGTTTGTCACAGCACAGTTGGTTGCACACAGCGGAACACGGAAATCTCGTCCTCGATCGACTTGTCTTGCACGGCCGTCTGGCGATCATCGACGTTCGGCTTCGAGTGTCTCAACTCTTCCGTTGCCGCCAGCTAATATAGCAGAAGTTGCGCAAACTCAAAGTTCCAACTGCAACCCTCTCCTCAACTGCCACTCCGTCTCTTAAAAAACGATCCCGCTCGCTCTCGACTCTCTTAAAAAACGGGCGAGCGGCCAACCAACCCCGTGGTGGTGGCTGTGCTGGGCGTTCAACCCCTAGTTTTTTAGCGACCCTTAGCCGGAAAATACTCTCGGAAAATGCAATGCTCGGCGCCGGCTTGCGCTACTTATTTTCGGTTTGGTTCTGTTTTTTCGCTGCTTTTTTCCCGACCAATAAAATGCCAGCATTCATGTAAATTTATCTGGAAAAGAGAGTTTTTTAGGTAAAAAATGTCATTGATTGCGAGCGAAGAGAGAGGATGTGAAGGAATCCATATATCTCAACCCAATGTGTGAGCGAGAGCGGAAACGAAAGAGGAGTATAACAACAGCTACATAGATGACTGAGGGAATTTTATTTTAAATTATCACAAAGAAAACATACATACTATGCACGTATATATCTAGTAAATATTACTAAAAATGTAAACTGTAAACTATGTTTGTAATTGGTAGCAATAGGGTGATGGAAGGGCCATTCATACTCGTACGTAATTTATACATTTTCAAGGACATATTAAGTGATTCTGCGATTTTTTAAATTGGCTTGACATACTTGAATGCCAGCGAGTATTTAGATTTCAATACTAGGTGAACGACATCCCACCTCACTTTCATGTTTGTGAATCAATAGTCGTACAAATCCCAATCCGCAGTATATATTCCTTATATATATATACATACATATGTACTTTTGTTAGCTGCATTCTGCGAATTTCATTACATTTTTGATTAAATTATCATTGTTGTCCCAATTTCCCACACTAGCAAAATCCAATCTATAATTTTAACCCAACATCATTTGCTGATTTCCATAAGCATAATCGAATCTAAAGTCTCACAAAGTGTAGATTCCGCATCTTTGTCCATTCAGGGTCATGGAGGATCGCTTCTCTATACAAATTGTTCGAGCGAATTTCGGCAAACCGGAGAACAAAATAAACCCAAAGGATTGGCGCGCCTCAGAACTGGAGCAGCTGCTCTCCGCCAGAGACATAATCGAATGAAAACCATTCAAATGCAAAAAATAAAACACACATTTTTTGCGCCATAGAAAAAGTTTTCAAAATTAAAATTACAATCGAGCAAAAAATCTGCATTACAATCGTGCAAAAATACCAAAATTTTCATAGACCGTTGCAAAAAAAATTTGCATATAAAAAAACGATTGCAGAAAATCCGAACAAGAGTAGACGCAAACCCTTCGAGGAACCGCTTTCCATTTGAAGGAGGCGACATGTTACATCCGCTGCGCAGGCGCACCGAATCCATCGCAGAAAGTAATTTGCATAAATTATTGCTGTAAAATATTGGCACGCAGAAGCATTTGCATAATTTTGGCATAGCCGCCCAGGGCCAGAGCGGGTGAGGAGCTCGGCTCCGGGTCTGCGTCAACCTCATCCTCGGGCACCCTTGGCAGCCAGTGTTATGCAAATGGACCTGTAATTCAGTTGGGGAGGAGGGTTACATTACACTTCCAGGCACGCAGATCGACTGCGCACGCGCGCCGTGTGGAAACTTATGCAAATCAGCGAGGAAATCCTTCGAACATCGAACAAATCGATTGGCGAAGGGCGTAAGCGAAGGGACGATGTACTGGCTGAGGCCATCGATTGATTTTGAATTTGCATTTGGTCGTAGCTAAGCAAGGTACGGCCGAAAAATGGAAGGATGGAAGGATGGAAGCAAGGAGCTGGTTTGTCACTTGGTTGGCGAATTGGGATTGAAGTGGATTTACCAATTGTTGCCATAATTGAGTGACATGGATAACACAGAGAGGGACGGAGAATGAGAATGAGAGGGAGAGATACGAACTACGAGCATGTTCTGTGCTATTGATTACAAAAAAGGTTCCACGCCAAAATGGCAACTGGAATGAAAATCTGCATGAAAATGCAGACAAAAGCCCATACATATCCATAGTATAAAGGCGATCCAGAGCTCGGTTCGGTGCTTGTTTTATTTCCCCATGTACGTTCATTCATAGTTAAACTCATTGTAAGAGTGTTCCCGCTTCTATGCTTTTACATTTACATATGGGAAATTCATATTCAGTTACAAATGGAAAACTTTTGTCAGCCACATTCAGTGTTGTTGCTGCTCGCTCGGTTGATTGCAGTTAGTCCTGAAGAGCCATTTATTCAGGGGATACGAAGCGACAATTATTATTTCGGGCTAAACTTTTGAATTAGCATTACACTGGGAAATCAATTAGCCAAGTAGAAGGCCCGTCACAGACCATCACAATCGACCGAAGCCGGAGACCTTATGGAGTTTTAATTGCTGTCGAGTTTGTCTCCTATTTTGCCATTGGTGGCCAATGGTGGAACAGACGGCTCAGAGTTATCACTGGTGTCATCAACGTGAGAAAATCCCCGGGAACAACTCCAGTGGATAGCATGGGATGGGAGCATATCTCCCATCTTTCTCCCTAATTACGTCAATTGCCTGTGGCACTTCGATCCTATCCTCTGTCTCTCTGTACCTCACAATTTCCACGATTTATGCTAAAAAGTAAACAAAAATCGTTTGAATATTCAATCCGCAGGGGCGCTTCATTCCGTGGGCATACTATACACACACCCTATTTACCTATTTTCCTTTTCTTGAATATTTTCTCTATTTTCCTCCTTTTTGTGATGCTTTGTTTTGGGATGCGCTTAGCCACAGATTTATTGCCTCAGCAAAATCTCAACTTCTATCCCTGAATAGGAAATGTGTCTCCCTTCCCTTCCCTCGATCGATGATATTTCAATATATTCATTGGCATCCCTCGCACTCTGTTTGTCCAACACTGCTGACCCTTGGCTAATGCTGGCAGTAGAGTCTATGCCAATGATGAGTATCTAAAGATGCTAATGCAATGCAATGGACACGCGTACAATTCCTGGAGTAAATTAGACACGAGCGTGAAGTCGGAGATTATCTCTGGAGAAATAGTAGAGGGGATCGGATCGCCTTGACCAATGGTCAGCGCGCGTGCCTATTCTTGAAGGATAATGGGTTACCGTTGGGCAGTCAAACAGGTTCTCTATGCTCCCGGTCTCGGAGGGTGATCAGTGGTCATCTTAAACGGTCATCCTTTGGGCGCGTGGACGGGACGGGACAACAAGGGCTAATTGAGATGGTCAGTGGTCACGCCGTCCTTGCGCCATCTTCTATCAGTTTTATCTATTTGTCTACCTCCGGTAATTTATAACGGTTATTCCGAGGGAATCCTTTGAGGAAAACAAAAAAAACTTGAGAAAGATTTCTCATACGTACGTATGTATAGAAGGGCAAGGGGCCTTCGGGTCAGGCAAACACTCGAAGATCCGAAAGCTGCAATTAAACTCGCTTTTGCGCATCGTTTCGGAAGCATCCCAGAAAAGGTAACAAAAGGGTTGAAGGGTCGCTCGAAGGACCTCCTCGCCCAAAACCGGACCAGACTCGTGGCCACGAATCAAAAATGAAAATCACAAGCAAACCGGTTTGGACATCGGCATTAATTTTCAGAAAGGCCGCGAAGAAAATTTCAACAGCACAGCAGAAAAAAAAGGATGAAAGGATGGAACCCTTGCAGGATATGCACACCATATGGCGGTCCATAGCGGGATCTGGTCAACATGGAAGCATAGAGGCGGCGGCAGCTTCGCTTTTCGTTCAGCTCTGGCTCTGGCTGTGGCTGTGGCTACGGCCTGGGTATTGGTATTGGGTGTCTCCTAACGGCTGCTGATGGTCCTGATCCTGTTCCCGAAGCTGCTGCTAATGCTTTCTTTGGGGTGGCAGTCGGGCATGAGAGTTGGACGGACAGGACAATGGCGACCGGGTTCAAAGGGTAGCCTTGCGGTCATGCATTCAAATTATCTTTCTATTTTGTTCTCAGCATGTTCAACAATGACCCCGTCCCGCCTGGGAAGCTCTGGCTCTTCAGCGAGAGGTCGGCCATTTTGTTGAGCTCAAATATGTTCTCGAATTAACGGACATTTCTCAAGAAATCAGCAGACAAACCATCAATGGGAAGGATGGAGCCCCAAATAAGAGATCTCAGCCGATGCGCCGATAGAAACGTTCCCCCCAGGGAAACGCGTGCCACACTGACCTCCCGAATGACCATTCCCAACCCTTTTCTCAATCCTTAACCCTCGAAAACTGGTTCTTGACCAGCGCTAAGCGATCAAAACGCATTGGACGCGTGTCCATCGCAGGGTTGGTCAGCCGAAGATGGATAAACTGCCCCTAAGAAGGAACCCAAGCCCAAGGAACCGACACTTCACACATTTGCATTGTCATCTGCAATGACTCTATCCTCAGCCACTGTCCATCCATATCCATTGAATCCCAGAGCGGTCGAGTGGTCCCTTCAAAGTGTCGACAAATCGTTTGCAAGTGAAGATCCTATTAGCCTTCCCTGTGGTCATTGATAGCCCGAGCCCGAACCCGAACCGAGCTGGCAAGATTTATGCAAAAAGGCAGCAGCCCAAGGGTCAGCAGTGTTGGACAAACAGAGTGCGAGGGATGCCAATGAATATATTGAAATATCATCGATCGAGGGAAGGGAAGGGAGACACATTTCCTATTCAGGGATAGAAGTTGAGATTTTGCTTAGGCAATAAATCTGTGGCTAAGCGCATCCCAAAACAAAGCATCACAAAAAGGAGGAAAATAGAG